TAAGAAAGAAGCATTTTTTTCTTTTTGTCAAGAAGTTTTTACTTTTTTTTTTTTTTTTTTTAAAGGGAGAGGGGCCACGAGTTTCAGTTATCACAAGCCACTCTTCACAAAGGCATCAGGCCAGGAGAATTTCATACATAAAGTCTACAAGCCTATTGGGAATAAATTCAAACCTAAAAGAATGAACTGAAAAGAATATTAGAAAATAGTAAGAGTTTAAAAAAGTGTTCAGATACAATGTAAAACAAACAAAAAATTCTCACTGACCAACAATAACTGATTTAAAATATTGTAATGCATAAAATTCACAATTCATACATAGTACCATAAGAAAAGAAAGTGAATTTAGTGAAAGGTCTAGCATCTTTAATGAGGAAAACTACAAAATTATAACTGAAGGACAGAGAAGGAAGCTTGTTATATAGAAGGATGTACTACCATTTTCAGATAGGCAGGTGTTATAATGATATAAAGTATAAAATTTCCCCTTGCATTCATAATTTTAATTAAAATTGCAATAGAACCCTGACAAAATGATTCTTAAAATTAATTCTTGGGACCAGCAGTTAGAGTAATGGCTATGTCACTGGACTCCCATGTAGTCGGCCGCAGTTTGCATCCCGAACCCGGTGGCTTGTGCGTGCGTGCCCAAGATCCCGAGAAGAGAATGGAGGAGAAGGGATTGCGGGGTGAAGGGATTGCGGTGTTGCCATCCCCCCTGGGGGGTGATTTCTCGCTTTCTATCTTTCTGTCTCTCTCTGTCTGTCTGGAGAGCGCACGTGCCCTATAGCCAAAACCTCTAAAAAAAATTAATTCTCTAAAGGGAAAAAATGAATTGGAATAGTTGATAAAAAAAAAAAAAGAAATGAGGAAAATTTACTCTAGCAGATATTAAAACTTATTTTTAAATCGTCTTTAGTAAAGCATATGGAATGAGTACATGACCAGCAGAATCAAGTAAATCATCCAGAAATTGGCCCGTGTATATGTGAACAGACCCACGTGTATGTGTGTATGGCACACACGTGGCATTTTAGATGAGGGAAGGGACTGTAACAGCTGTCAGACTGGACGAGAATTGAATTTGGATCCCTGACTCATAGTTTATATGTTAAGATACTATTTTGTGCGGAGTATAGACCAAACTGTTGAAGTAGATACCCAAAAATACAATGTGGGTTTGGTGAAATAGAAATTTATTTCTCTTTCACCTAGAATGTCTGGAGGTAGGTAGTTTAGCACTATAAGGGCAATTCTGCCTTCTCAATTCTCAGCTTCCATCCCTGGTTCCCAAGCAGTTGTTCTAGTATCCTCTTTAGCCAGAGAAATAGAGACAGAAACCTGGGAGTGTATACGAATGTCCTTTCAGAGGAGTGAGTCCCAAGTGACTGATAAATCAGTTCTACTCACATCTCCTTGGCTAGAACATGTCCACCTGACCACACCCAGCCCAGAAGCTAGGAGGTATGGTGTTCTGTTATTAAAGGAGAGTATGGATATTGGTGGAGAATAGTGGTTTCTACTTCATATCTTACTCCAAAACATCTTCCAGATGAATTAGAAGTTTAATATCAAAAACAAGCCCTGAAAGTTCTAGGAGAAAATATGTTTGAATTGGTCAGAATATTGTGAGAAAGACCTTTAAGCAAGATAGTGAATGCAGAAATGAAAAAAATCTGTATGTATTCACATTCATTAATCTTAAAAACTCTGAAAGATATTTTAAACAGTGTTAAAAACAGACTACAAACCTGAAAAAATATTTCTGACATGCATAAGTCCTGTCTTTGATACAAAAAAATCACTAAGTAGAAGAAGGGTCAGTAGATGACGTGTTGGTTAAGATGCTGGACTCCCACACAGCTACCCGCAGTTTGAGTCCTGGATCTGGCAGCTTGAAAATCACACTGGGTGCCTGTGTATGCGTGCCCCAAATTCTGGCATGGCCATCCCCCACATGGGGTGGTTTCTCACTTTCCCTGTCTCTCTCACTGTTTTTCTCTGGTGAGTGCACACGCCCTATGGCAAAAGCCTTTTTTTGTTTTGTTTTTAAAAAATAAATGTAAAAAGAACATCCTTATTAGAAAAGCTAATGTGTTCATTATAGCATTTAATAACGATGGAACACAGGCTGTCTGTGACTTGGGGAAGAATATTCAGAGGAATACTTAGCATCCAGTTACATGATGTTCTTTCTGTATTCAGGCCCAATGCCCTCTCTCTAAACTCTTAGGACAAGACATTCATGCATTTCACTGTAGAAACCTGGGAGTTTTATGATGTATGTCATTTCTACCATGTTTCTTTGGCCAAATATTCTTAACAAGTGGCATAAATAAAGGATTTAAGTAGCCTCTTGTCAGTTGAGGTCTAGTTTTGTTGCTAAATGAGTTTGCTCTAAAGTAATGGGAAAACTTGTGATTTTAAAGGGCTCGTGGATTAGTTTACACAATTTTTTTCTATGAAATAATCCACAAGATATAAGTAGAAAGCAGTAGGTTTCAAAACACAAATATAAATATCATTTTCTGTAAAATATATTTAGAGAAACATTTTTCTTCAATATACCAAAAAATGTTTAGCATGAGAGTCATGTAATGTTAACATTAGGTCTCTCTGGCAGTCACTGTGGGTAATCTTTATTTCATCTTTATAGTTTTCTAAGAGTTCGCAGTATTTTAAATGACTTCATATTGATTTTATCATGAATGAAGTAAAGTTCTTTGTGTTTTGTAAAAAATAACACTTCACTTTTTTAAAAATTCTCTTTAAGTGATAAGATGTTTCCAGCTTTTGGTTTTGGAGCTCAGATACCTCCTCAGTGGCAGGTAAGAGGAAATCTCATCTTAACATTTGTTTTCTTCATTCAGAATAGATAAAGAAAAGATAGCCAGGATGGAGTGAGTGTGTGTGTGTGTGTGTGTGTGTGTGTGTGTGTCTTTGCGCGTGCGCGTGTGCATTTGAGAGTGAGAAAAAGTGGGGATGGGGAAGGACCACCCCTCACAGGCTCTGCTCATGCCGTGATCCCCTCCTAGCCCAGCAGTCTATCAGATCTTGCTCACTTGGGTCATATTTTAGGCTGACCAGGCTAGAGATTTAAACTATGGTCTCCATCTGGGATCTGGCTTTTCTTGAGCAACACATTACCACATAACAGGTCCAGAAATCTAATTTTAAAGCCTTGCCTCTTAGAAAGGCAAAATAGGACTCATCAGTAGGCCTTTCATCTTTTAACAGGTATCACATGAATTTCCAATGAACTTTAATCCTGCCAATCCCTACTGTAATGGTAAGTTACAACATAAACATGAAGCTTTTAACCCCAAAGCCTCCCTGATCTTTGTTTTTTGTCTTTTTCTTATAATTTAAAACTGCTTGAATTCCACTTCTACATTTTAATCTGTGACATATATTTTAGTAAAACACTGTTTTTTCTTTACTTGTATTTATTAATTCATTTATTTTAATTTAACCAGAGACAGAGAGAGAGAGAGAGAGAGAATGAGAGAGAGAGATGGCGAGAAGGAAAGCAAGCCACCAGGCTCAGAGCTCGAACTGTGGTTGACCATGTGCGAGTGTGGACACCTTAACCACCATGCCACATGCTGGTCCCATATTTTTTTAAAAGAATTATTTTATTTGGGAACCAGCAGTTAGCATAATGTCTATGTCACTGGATTCCCACGTAGTTGAACGCGGTTCGCGTCCTGGACCCAGTGGCTTAAAACTCACGCTGGGGGCATGTGGGTGCGTGCCCAAGATCCCAAGAGGAGAGTGGAGGAGAAGGGATTGCGACGTAACCATCCCTGCTGCGGGGTGATTTCTCACTTTCTGTCTCTATGTCTCTCTCTGTCTGTCTGGCAAGCGCACCCGCCCTGTAGTGAAAATCTCTCCAAAAAACAAACAAAAAAATGAATTATTTTATTTAACTTTATTTATTTATTTATTTAAATTTGATCAGAGAGGGGTAGAGTAAGACAGAGAGAGAAAGAAAATGAGGGACCAGCAGTTAGCGTAATGGCTATGTCGCTGAACTCCCACATAGTCGACTGCGGTTCGCCTCCTGGACCCGGTGGCTTAAACTCACGCCAGGCGCGTGTGCATGTGTGCCCAAGATCCCGAGGGGAGAATGGAGGAGAAGGGATTGTGGTGCGGCCATCTCCCCAGGGGGTAACTTCTCGTTTTCTGTCTCTGTCTGGCGAGCACACGTGCCCTATAGCAAAAACCTCTCCAAAAAAAAAAGAAAGTGAGAAACTAAGCTGCCAGGTCTGGGACTCGAACCACGAGTCCAGCTCCCTTAACCACCACGCCACCTGTCAGCCCCAATAATCTGTGACATATTTAACTTTCTGTTGTATAAAGTAGAAGGCTTGTACTAAGTCCGTGATTAGGGTAGTAATCATATAATAATTATATGTGGAAAATCATTAGGATGATGATGAAGGCTAAATTTTTAAGGAGTTTAATAGTACAAAAAACCCTCAGTCTTCAGAGTAGATAAATAAAAATAATATATTAAAAGTATTTTGCATATAAATTGATTTGAAAATAAACTTCTATAAAAGTAATTCAGTATACAGATTTTTTTGTAGCTTTTTAGTTTAACAGTTGCTCTTTACAAGAAAAGGCGTCCATCATCTAATTACTTGTTGCTCACACAGTGGCTATAAATAGAATGGATTGGTGAAAGAAACAGAAAATTGAGCTCCTACAGCAGCCGTCCTCTGTGTAGAGAGTAGGAGGCTGACATTTGTCTTTCATTTCACTTTTTTCTTTATACCTCAAATATCCAACTGCTTCCTCCTTTTTACCACATTGAGCAATCATCCAAAAATGCCAAATCTCACATTAGGTTATATAAGACTAAAACAGTTTGGAAGAGGAAAGGTAGATGTGGGGGTCAGAGACATCACTGAACATTCTAGAAAATAAGCTAATTTCTGCAAAGGGTCCTTTCAACAATCACAAAATGTATAGCTTTCTAACAAAAGGAGGTGTTATTTCTTTCTTTTCTTAAACTGTGTCCGTAAATTAGAAACACATGAACTGTATTAGGGTTTTCTCCTTTCCTTTTTTTTTAATTTTTTTTTTTCGGTAATTTTTTTTCATAATTAAAAAAAATTATCATTTTTTTTTTAATTTATATATTTGATTACTGTGTATCATTTTGCTTATAAGTTGAATTTACCCAACATGAATGTACTTCACAACAGTACAGGTGAGGATACAAAACACATTATCATTAACAGATAATAACCGATTTCTGCATCCCATAAATATCTTGCCTCTCCCTCCCTTCCCTCCCTTCTCCCATCCTCTTCCCACATTGTCTCCTGAATCTATAACCATTTTTAATGCTTCTTTGTCCTCTAATCTCAGTTTCCACAATAGAGTGTGGACATTTGTTATATATTGAGATGTTTGCTATAAGGCATGTGCACTCACCAGAGATATAGAGAAAAACAAAAAAAGACAGGATGTGAGAAATCACCCCCCGGGGGGGATGGCCACGCCATAATTCCTTCCCTTCCATTCTCCTCTCGGGATTTTGGGCACACATACACACATGTGCCCAGTGTGAGTTTTAAACCTCCAGGTCTGGGACTCTACTGTGTGAGACTTCAGCAACCTAACCATTTTGCCATTTGCTGGTCCCTCTTTCCTTTTTAAAAACAATTTATTTTTTATAATTTTTTTTTTTTTTTATTGCCAGAGGATGCATACACTCACCAGAGAGAGAGAAAGAGAGAGGGAGGAAGTACTCCCCAATGGAGTTGGTCACACTGTAAACCTTTCTCCTCCATTTCTCCTTCCTGCGTGTAATTGGGATATTTGTACGCACATGCCTTGCATATTTTTTTCAAGTCTGGGGCTGGGATTTGAACTGGACAATGTGGGATCCAACACTTTTAACCACTAGGCTGCAGGACTAGTCAAGAGTTTTTCTCCTTTTCTTCAGGACTTTTTTTTCATACTAATACAATAGGCCCTTTTGGTGGCTGTTTGTGACCTCTTCTATTCCTAGCCATTTGAAACTGGAACATTATTCTTTTCAGGAAATGGGCTTCGTGCCTGTGAAAAAATTGGAATAATTTTTGGAATTTGTTGTACTTTAAGTAGATTTCATTTATTTCAAATAAATATGGATGACATGTCATATGATAATTTATTTTAGAGATTCATTTACTTCATGAGTAGTCTGAGCTCTGGCTATCCATTAAGTACAGCTTTCTTACTGTTGGTTTATAAACTGAAAAAAGTCAATTTGATTTTAAACGAAGAAGATATGGTACAAGAAAAAATCCAGACTTAGTATAAGGAAATTTAATCCCCTTTTTCTAATCAATTTCCTAGAAATAGCATTTCTTACTTATTCCTTTAATTTTGGCATAATTTGGTTTTAGTTTAATTGAAGGCTATTGATATTTATGAAGAAATTAAATTAATTGCTCTGGGACCAGCAATGGCGTAACGTTTATGTCACTGGATTCCCGTGTATTATACTGTGGTTCGAGTCCTGGACCCGGTGACTTAAACCTCATGCCGGTGTTTGTGCGTGCATGCCTAAAATCCCAAGAGGAGACTGGAGGAGAAGGGACTGTGGTGTAGCCATCCTCCCTGGGGGATGATTTCTCACTTTCTGTCTCTTTGGCTTTCTCTGTCTTTCTGGCAAAAGCACGTGCCCTATAGCAAAAATCTCTCTCTCTAAAAAAAAAAAAAAAAGGAATTTAAATTAATTACTTAACCTTCAGACTTAAAGGCAAAGTAAGATGGTAGAAATGGAGGAAAATAGGGGCCGACAGGTGGTATAGTGGTTAAGGGCACTAGACTCAATAAATGAATAAATAAAGTCATTTAAAATAATGCTTTAAAAAAGGAAATAGAGGAAAATATTGCTGTAGTTATGGGCACAGTTTTCTATAGCATATGTCATTGCAGTGAGAGATCCTGCTGCTAGCCAATGTTAATGTTAATATTTGTATGGCTGGTGAACTGACTCTTAGTTATGGCATCACTTCATGCATGTAAAATTATCTCTGCATATGAATTAGTTCTCAAGGTTGTTCATAAGACTTATTCTTAAGTTCAAAGTAACTAAGAGTAGTTTATTGGAACTCTTAAATTTAAAGAGGGGAGTTGCTCTTGTGAAGCTCTGAAACCAAGTAAATGCTTCGCTTTCTTACTGATCTATGTTGTTTTTTGTTTTTTTGTTTTTTGTTTTTTAAGAGAGGTTTTTTGCTATAGTGTATGTGTGGTTACCAGAGAGAGAGAGAGAGACAGAAAGTGAGAAATCACCTTCAGGTGGGATGGCCATTCCGCAATTCCTTCTCTTCCATTCTTCTCTCAGGATTTTGGGCATGCATGCACATGCACCTGGCATGAGTTTTAAGCCACAGGGTCTGGGACTCGAACCGTGGTTAACAACATGGTAGTCCAGTGACGTAACCATTACGCCATCTGCTGGTCCCGATCTATATTCTATTGGACATTTTTTATTTTAATTGCAACAGATGGCGCATATGCTCACCAGATGGAGACAGAGAGGCTGAAGGAGAGGAAGAAAACAGAAAACACCCCTAATTGGGCATGGTCACATTGCAATCTCTTCTCCTTTTCTCCTCCTTTTCTCTATCTTGTTGGGACTTGGAGCATGTAAGCCCAGGCGCTCACGTTTTTCAAGCTAGAGCTGGGATCTGAACCAAAGCTGGGTGTATGAGACCTGGCTCTCCTAATCATTAGACTATGGGGCCAGCCCTCTCTTGGACATTTTTAAAGCAAGAGTACTGTTTCATTTTACAGTAAAAGTCTTTTGTGGCAGATTTCCGTACCGATCTCAGCAAATATTGTCGAGCATTCCTTAGGATTTCTAGTACCTTAAACACATTGATATGAAGAATTGATTTAATAGGTGGGATTCATCAGCAATGCTTCTACCAAGAATGTTAGTCAGCTTTCATTAGGTTATGCTATTGTAATAAACAATATTGACATCTCAGTGACTTCATTTATTCTTAAAGAATTATTTAATTTTATTTATTATTGTATTTAAGTTGCTATAGGGGACATGTGCTCACCAGAGAAAGAGAATGAGAATGAGAGAGAGAGGGAGAGTGAAAAATCAAGCTGCCAGGGACTTGAACCAGGGTTGGTCATGTGGGAGTCCAGCACTTTAATCACCACGTTACCTGCTGGGCCCAAAATCTCAGTGGCTTCTACTGAGAAGTTTATTCTTGCTCACTTGTCATATGGCTAGAGTGCAGTTCTGCTCCATATTTCTTACACAGACTCAGCCTGAAGAAGCAACCACTCATCTGAATTGTGCCTCTCCCATGGCAGAGAGAAAGAGTAAGAGCTGGAGGAAGCTGGTAGTGTTTTTTGTTTGTTTTTAGGTTTATGCCATTGGGCACATGCGGTGGCCAGAGGGACAGAGAGAGGGAAAGTAAAAAATCACCCCCTCCCCCAACCAGAGGGATAGCCATGCCACAATCCCTTCTCTTCCACCCTCCTTTTGGGATTTTGGGCAGGTGTTCACATGGACCCAATACTGTTTTCAAGCCACCAGGTCCAGAACTTGAACCTTGTTCAACCATGTGGAAACCCAGAGCCTTCACCACCACGCCACCTGCTGACCCACAGGCAGTGTTTTTTTAAAAACATCTTAGACATGGATTTCATTGTCACATGCATGGGTCAGAACTAGTTACATGGTCCAGTTGTACTTTCTGTCACCCAAGACTCCAGCAGGTCCAGGAACAGTCAGTACCTGTAGACAAATATGCTCGCATTCTCCTGCAACAAAATGTGATCAATAACCTAGAAGTGAATATTTGGAACTAGCTCTTAAGTTATTGAATAAACACTTGTGCTGATTAACGAATTAGAATTAATATTAGGTTTCTAGCCATCTGGTATTTTTACGGAACCTTTGCCATATCCACAGTTTTTCTTTTTCTCAATAGCTTTTTCTTACTTCTTAACATCAGCTATATGCTGTAACACCTTTTTCATTGTTCTTTTTCCATCAGAGTCACATTCCCAAAACACATCAAAATGAATCATAAATGTAACAGTTCTGCTATAGACTAATGAATACTTTCAGATGAGAATAAATGCTTCTGCTGAGAGAGAACAGAGTTTATAGGTTTTTGCAATGGAGCATAGCTATGGAGTTTTATAACAGACAGCTTAGAAGAATTCCCGAATATAAAACTTTTGACTGTTTTTAAAGCACTGTATATTGAAATATATGTGGAGGCTTCAAAAAGCTTATGGAAAATAGAATCGAAGTGTAAGTTTTCTTGGTGCAAAAAATATTTTTTTTAATCTGGGCAGTTTTTTTATAAAACACATTCTTCACGTACTTTTTTTTTTTTTTTTAAGAAAAAGTTATAGCATAGGAGGAGTTTATTAGCAAAGTGGGGAATTTATTAACAAGGTAGGGAGTTTGTTAAAGGAGAGGGAAGGAAAAACGCCCAAGAAGGGAGGGGTCCTGGAAAATGGGTTGCCAAGGAAGAACTGGGTCAAGGGGGTGTTATTTGGGTCAGGAAGGGCCTTGTCCAGACTTGTTCTAGGTGGGGCTTGTGCATGCATTCCCCTCCTGGTAGGGAGGGGCACAGGCAGCATGAGTCCAGTTATTGTCCTCATTTTGAAGTACTTACCAAGGTCAGGAGATTCTTTGTCTTGAAGCTTTGGGTCATGAAAACCATTATCTTATCTTCTTCCTGGAATGTGGTGGGGCATGGAGAAAGCCTTTATTTTAGGTCTAGGTTAGGCTGCCTAGGTCAGTCACTGAGCCGTCACTACCTTCATACTAGATGATATAGAACACTGTGGTGTGGGGACCGAGGAAAAGAGTGGTTAATCGGGTGTCCCCAAAAGGCCAATACACAACTTTCTATTTCTGACAAGAGAAATGAAGAGGAAAATCAGCCTGGCAAGAGCAATATGATGTGATCCTCTCAACAATGCCAATCTAATTAACACCATATGCTTACTGAAGGTGAAAAGAGATCTACCTATTTTACCGTAGGCATATTTTGCTCTGAGTATTGGTTGATCAGTATGAGGAGGATACAGGAGGGTTGTTCAGCAGACTTTAGAACCCAAAGAGAAAGAGGATCTACTGTTCATTTTTGACTAGACCCACATGAAGAAGGAGAACTTCCACTCAGTTGAGCAGTGAGGGACAACATTTTTTTTTTTTTTTGGAGAGGTTTGTTGCTATAGGGTGCGTGCACTTGCCAGATAGACAGACAGAAAGTGAAATCTCCCCACAGGGGGTGATGGCCACGCCACAATCCCTTCTCCTCCATTCTCCTCTTGGGATCTTGGGCACACGCGCCTGGCATGAGTTTAAAGCCACCGGTCCCGGTACCGCGGTCGACTACGTGGGAGTCCAGTGACATAGCCATTACGCTAACTGCTGGTCCCTAGAACTTTCAACCTCAGAGCCTTCTAGCACCACAGGGAGTGGCTCTGTGGCAGACGCCTTCAATTGTCCAGAGACATTCAGTTTTCCCTCTAGATATTTGGAGTCCCTAGTCCCAGGACCCTGTAGGCCGGCAGAGCAAAGGGCAGCTTAACTTTCTTTAATGCATTATGGCAAGTTCCTGGATATGCATCACTCTCTTGCTAGCAGAGAGTAAGACCTTTTAGAGAAAAGGTCTTAAGAAAAAGAAAGAAAGCAATTTGCCCTGTCACCCAGCTGGGCTATGGGGGATGGCTTCAAATTCTCAAGGCTTTGAGAATACATCAGAGAGTAACCCTGGCATGCACCATCAATGCCCCCAAAACATTCATCTTCCCTGTGATGGTTAAGATTCCAGAAATGGAAACCAAGTCAAAATAGCCAACATTCTCAGCATTTTGATAATGCTGCAAGATGGCAGGCCTCACATCTGAGTCTTACAGACTGACAGTCAAACAGCCAACATTCTCAGCATTTTGATAATGCTGTGAGATGGCCAGCCTCACATCTGAGTCTTACAGACTGACAGTCCCCTAATGGTTTTCACATGACTGTCTGATGCCCAGTAATTTCGTCTTCATCTGATAGAGCTAATTTCTAGGAACAAGGGTGTCCCAGAAAAAAAAGATAGAAAGCCCACATTACTTACTATTCTGACATGAAGAAGAGGAGTCTAGATATTTCCCAGCCAACGCACCAAAATATGACGTAGGGTCATGGGGGCACAGGGGTGATTGGGCCCACACTCATAGTGAGACCCAGGTTCTTAAACCATGCTCAGGAAGAATTAGAGTCGTGGACACACAGGGTAGGTATAGCAAAGAGAGAATTTATTAGCAAAATGGGGAATTTATCAACAAAGTGGAGAGTTTATTAAAGGAGAGGGAAGGAAAAACAGAGCTCCTAAGAAAAAAGGGGTCCTGGAAAATGAGTTGCCCCTTCATGAACTTTTCGAAGTCCTTGTGTGTAATTAAACTGGTTAGTGTCTAGCTCCAGTTCCTCTTCAGCAACTCATTTTCCAGGACTTCTCCCTTCTTGGGAGCTCAGTTCTTTCTTCCTTCTTCTTTAATAAACTCCCTGTTTTTCCTATACATTTGTAAAGAAAAAAGAATTGCTAGTATTTTGTTTAATAGTTTCTAATACTGTTTATTATTTATTTTTTTAATCTAGGAATCCAAGGCATTGTAGAGGCATATCGGGCCTGTCTCCCTCAGGTTAAACTCTATGGACCAACTAATTTTTCTCCCATCATAAATCATGTGGCCAGGTTTGCTGCTGCAGCCACACAACAGCAGACAGCTTCTGTAAGTGCTCTGTGGCCAGGGGACTGTAAGAATGAGGACTGGTAGAGGCTTTTGGCACCATTTTTATCTTTATGTGGTTTGTTGCAATATAAGAAGGACAAGGAGGAATGATATAGTCCCCCTTTGCTCGGGAGGTTATATTTGTTGTTAAATTTTGGTCATTAAGAACAAGGTAACAACAAAATAACACATACATAAATCTTTATCTTTTGAATTAATTTTCCTAGATAAGTTCTACCAGAATAAAAGCAAAAAGCTGTCATCTACCTTTAGGAAATAGACTTAACAAATTAATACTTGAAGAGACACTCAACCTCAGTTGTTGTTGCAAGATGACTTAGTGTCCTGAAGAGATTTGATTAGCTTACTCCATGACCTGTTGGCTCTTGGATGCCAAATCTCTCTTGATTTCAGTATACATAGAAGTTAGTTGGGGAAAACTATGTTATGCAGTTGTCGAAACAGTTAAATAAGGTGACTTGTACGAAGTGCACAGTGCCTGGGTCAGAAGAAGCACTTCGTGCATACTAGCTACTGTTAGAAATCTTATTCTGGTTGTAGGCTCAAATGACCCAAAAGGGTCATGACTGTATTTGGCATTTCACTACTTTTTGAAGAGCTTTATCAGAGATGACAGAATTGAGAGTGATTTCTTTCCTTATTCCATATCCATTTTTTACAAAGCGTATCTTTGTCCCCTTAAGCCATATCCATTTTTTACAAAGCGTATCTTTGTTTGGTGAACAATCTATTTCCATATTTATTTGCTCTTTTGAGAACGGAGTTGCCACTTGTTCCCTTAACTGATACTTTGACATATTTGATACTTCCATTAAATTAAAGTTTATTTTTCTGTGCTTCCTGAAAGGTTAATCTTTGACATTTAGATGTCTTGCTTCTGTGTATTTTACCAACCTGTTTTGTGGTCTGCTGTACTTTTAATGAACCTGCAGTTTTTGTAAGAGTCAATTTCCTTGTCGTCAGACACTCTTAACCTATTTTATGCAGGGTGGTATCCTGGCAGCAGTTAGAAAATGAGTAAGGAAGAGACTGAATGATTTATCCAGCTAGAGATAGCATTAACATTGTTTTTGTTATTTGGGAGTTTGACCTGCTCAGTGGACATATTTTTCTTCTTTTTTTGGCAGCAATATTTTGTACTTTTAATCATTACTGATGGTGTGATCACAGACCTAGATGAAACCAGACAAGCCATAGTCAATGCTGCCAAGCTGCCCATGTCCATCATCATTGTTGGAGTCGGAGGTGCTGACTTTGGTGCCATGGAGTTTCTGGATGCTGATGGTGGAAGTCTCCGCTCCCCATCAGGTGAAGTGGCCATCAGAGATATCGTCCAATTTGTGCCTTTCAGACAGTTCCAGAATGTGAGTATCACTCGTCTTTATTCACACGCTAAGGTGTTTGAACACAGACCTTTGCTAGCCCACAGCCAAGCCGTTGAGTAGGTGTGTGGAGTTAGCGGCTATCGGAACCCTGTCCTTTTTCCATATAAAGACCATGATTAAATTTGCCAGTTTCGTTAGAATGTGTATATGCATGCTTCTTGTAGTCTATAGGATAAATTGTTTAAAACTGTTCGTGAATGTCTTAAGAAATGATTTTATCTTTACCTTTGTAACAATAAAAAAAAATTAAAGTATATGTAGAATTTATCAATTTATAAGTTGGTGTGATGAAAATCTCTCCGGAAACTGTTTGACCCAGTTTATTCCAGTAGTACTATCTTACGAGACTTAGTACAGCATCATAATCAGGCTGTTTTCATTGTTGTAACACCTACCTACCTATCTCCACAGGATCCCTCATGTTGCTCTTTTATAGCCACACTTACTTCTCTTCTACCTACCTCTCCTTTGAACTCCTGGAACCACAAATCTGTTAACGATGTTATACTATTGTCATTTCAGTAACGTTATATAAATGGAATCACATAGGTTTTAACCTTTGTGGCTTGGCTTTTTTAAAATTCAGCATAATCCTACCAAGACTTACCCACATTGTTGCATGTATTCCTTTTTATTGCTGAGTGTTATTTCATGGTATGGATGTACCACAGTCATTTAACCATTCACACATGGAAGGACACCTGAGCTATTTCCAGGTTTTGTCTAGTATACATGAAGCTGCTATAAACATCCATGCATGAGGTTTTTTATGTGGATGTAAGTTTTATTTTTCTGTGTTAAATATCCAGGAATGAAGTTGTTGGGTTATATAAATAGTTACACGTGCAGTTATTATTATTTTTAAAGAATTATTTCATTGCGGGACCAGCAGTTAGCATAATGGCTATGTCGCTGGACTCCCATGTAGTCGACCACAGTTCGAGTCTTGGACTCGGTGGCTTAAACTCATGCCGGGCGCATGTGCGTGCATGCCAAGATCCCGAGAGGAGAATGGAGGAGAAGGGATTGCAGCGTGGCCATCCCCCCTGGAGGGTGATTTCTCCTTTTCTGTCTCTCTGTCTGTCTCTGTCTGTCTGGCAAACGCACGCACCTTATAGCAAAATAAAAACAAAAACAAATTGCAATGCTGTAGTCTTCACAAAGTTCAGAAATATGTATGTTATTTAAAAACTATGTATAGGGTCAGCGGGTGACATGATGGAGAGAGAGAAGGAGAGAAAGCAAGCCGCCAGGTCTGGGACTCAGACCACAGTCAGCCATGTGGGAGTCCAGTGCACTTAACCATAACACCACATGTAATTATTAAAGCAGTTATCTTAAAAAAAGAAAAAGGCTGGGACCAGCAGTTGGCATAATGACTATGTCGCTGGCCTCCCATATAGTCGATCGCGGTTCGAATCCTGGACCTGGTGGCTTAAACTCACGCCAGGTGTGTGTTCGTGCATGCCCAAAATCCTGAGAGGAGAATGGAGAAGGGATTGCAGCGTGGCCATCCCCTCTAGGGGTGACTCCTTGCTTTCTATCTGTCTCTCTTTGTCTTTCTGGAGAGCGCACATCCCCTATATAGCAAAAACCTCTCCAAAAAAAAGCAACTGTCAAACTTTTCTAAAGTGGTTGTACCATTTTACATTTCTACAAGCAGAGAGAGGGCAGGAAGGGTGTGTGTGTGTGTGTGTGTGTGTGTGTGTGTGTTTATAACATGGTAATGTTAGAGATCTTTATACTGATAAAATGGTTCTGTATCTTGATTGTGATGATCATTACACAGGTCTACCAGGTGATAAAATTATGTAGAACTACACACACACACACACACACACACACAAGTGCATGTAAAAGCAATGAAACTGAATAAGGTCTGTGACCTGTGCTAATGTCAGATTCCTAGTTTTGATATCAACTATAGTTATGTAAGATGTTCTCTTTGAAGTAAACTGGGCTAAGGGTCCATGGGATCTCTCTGTATTACTTTTCCAATTTCCTATTAATCTACACTTATTTCAAAATAAAAATTAAAAAAACAATTGAATGCCAAATCCACATTTAAAAGTTAAAGAAAAACAAACAAAAATATCAGTGAATGCTAAAATGCTAACACCTAAAAAAGGACTTCATAAATGTTGACAGGGTTAATAATAGCAATCATACGTAACTTTGATTCCTTAGCTTACTCTGCACTTTGTGGATTATTCCTAAGAAGAAATACAAGTCTAGGAATTTGGGATTGCTCCTTTTTAATGGCCTGTAAATATTTGGTTGCTAATAAGGTTGCTTTGATTTGTTTTTCACAAGTCTCCAAAGGAAGCACTTGCTCAGTGTGTCTTGGCGGAGATTCCCCAGCAGGTGGTGGGCTACTTCAACACGTACAAACTCCTTCCTCCCAAGAACCCAGCTACGAAATAGAAGGAGCTACGACAGAATTCTTTAGCGCTGTGTGGAACAATGCCATCTCTTATCCCAAATCATATATGTGCCATTGTACGTACTTTTGACCCCCAGAATTTATGATGTAAACCTCGTCCTCGTTCTCTAGGAATCATACATGTTTAAAGCGTTCTTTTTATATTTGTTTGTGGGAAACAATGCCAAGGCCATCTTTGCCTAATCTGTTCAGTGATTGCTAGTAATTTACAGTAATTGCAGTGAGGCCATTTGGGTTAAAAACTAGTGTGGGGAAAAGCTGGTTTTGTTGTTTATGTTTTAAATAATAAAAATACTGTTTTTGAATGTGTTGCAAAGGAAAGAATGAGAAATTGGGCGGACGATGTGATTCGCAGGTTGCTGTACTTTGTTCTCAGTGTATGTTTTACAAGTCAGTGTCCACACCTAATTATGAGAGCTTCTTAAGTTACATAATGTTGAATTCGTTCCTATAATTCTGTACTCAGTGCTTTTCCATGGAGTAAATGACAGTCCTTCCTTGCATCTGAGTTTTGCTGCACCTCACATGCTGCATGGTTTATGAAACACCCATGGGCCTTAATGAAAAGTACTGAATGAGCAGGACAGGCACATACTGAATTTTTTAAATGTACAATCAACAAGTAGAAACTTGTAAGGAAGTATGAGCCATTTTTATTTGCCTTTCTGGATTTTTAGTTTTCATTTTGGAATATTATAAATGCAGTCATATTTGGTTTTCTTTTCAGTGACTGAATGTGACACTCAGGATTCTGTAGATACATAGACAATAGGTTGGCCCTGATTCTACATTATAAGATTATTTAAACTGGTTTGTTAAAATGGTTAGGAAGGACTGTTTTGTCCAGGAGAGCCATGAGGACCAAACATGTAAGGTGGAATTCTGAGTTCTAGTTTCTTCTAAGTGAGGAAAATGTTTACTCATTTAAAAGATAGTTCTTACTCTTTCCTTGATGGAGTCCCATAGATTTGTATAGATTCATTTAAACCTTTTTTTTTTTTCCTTCTTAACATAGCATTTTTGTATGATTTTTAAGCTTATGATACTGGTTATCTATCAATCAAAATCCCATCTTACACTTTAATAGAATGCTCTGTCCTAAGGCCAGGATGTATAGTATTAACCATAAAAACTGTTGTAAAACGGTGTTTCTTAAAAAAAGAAAAGAAAAAAAAACAACTTTTCCAACTGCTACATTAGGATAGAGTAGACTTTATGTGTTTTTTTTTTAAAAGTAGGAATTTGTTTTCTTGACTTTTACCTTTGAGAATGTATTAGTGAACATTACATTTTCAAATAGATTGTGTTGCATTTGAAAGGTCTGTGTCCCAAGTTCTGTGCATATCCATATACTGGCCAATTAACAATTTAAGATTATGTGTTTATCACGTGTCCTTGAGTGGATGCATGCCATGCCATGTTGATCTGCCTCTCAGTTACAGTGAGAATCTGCGCTCTAACCCACGTCTCTTATTTTCTGCAAGGAAGTAAGCTCTCAGCCACAGCAGTTTCACTTTTCACAAAGAGCTCCTTGTCAAGGTCAGGCTGAGAGGGGACCTCCTTGCCGTCATGGTTGCCTAGAACAGGTGAGCTGTTACAGCTGTCCCACTTACCGAGGTGGCTTCTAAATATGAGCTGAATACCTTAAGAGGCCTGCTAGTGTGCCTTCCCACAATACGGCTCATTAGTCACCGGCCATTTTGATCTTCTCAACGGGGCAGAAGAGAACTGGTCATTCTTCCAACTGCTTGGAGACTGTTGTCTCAGATGTCCTCATTTCAGTTCTTGCATGCTTAGAAACGACATAGGTATGTTGCTTTAGTTTTCAGAATTTTCTTTTTAAGCACCTTTAAAAAGATGACTTAATCACATAATCTTGGTATATGGCAAAATAGACAGAAGTGGAGTATCTTTGATGCCAGGGCAGGGTCCAGAGCCCCACACATTAGGCTAGTTCCACACTTCCTTCAGCCAGCTTCTCAGTCACACCCGAGTCACCTGCACAGGGCACTTGGTAACGCTGGTCTTTAGCATTCATTGTATTCATTGCCAGTTACCACTGTCAGTTTGATTTGGTCTTCATTATTTTAAATTCTAGGGTTTTTTTTCCACAACAGTTTTCTTTTTTAAATTTTTAAAAAAACTACTCGTTTTTGATCAAGTTTATCAGTAGATGCTGTTATTCATAAGTGCTTCAGTTCTAGCAAATTAGGGTGATTGGTACCTTTTTGCAGATTGGAATAAAAGCATTTACAATTTTTAATTATTATTTTGTAAAATTCTTGCAATTTCAATACTTTTAATATGTTATCTCATTTAATATTTCTTTACTAAAATGGTCCTTTTCCCTATTGTACCTCTATTCATTCAAGTGCCATTTGTTCTTAAAATGCATCTAAAGAAAAATGAACTAAATTGACCTTCACACCTCATGCAGTCAGAAATATTGCAAATGAACATTGGAGCGACAGTACCTTGATAGACATAATAGTTCCCACATATCCCTGTACTGAGAAAGTAGTCTCCTACTATCCTAGTCATTTCACCTAGTGGTTAGAATTGAACATTTAAGACCATAAATTTTTAAACTCTGATCAGGGATTTGTAACTGTTCACTTTGGTAGTGCTGTAGGCAGCCTTTCCAAAGTGGGTTCAGGGCGCCATTGCTGCTTGTGCTGTATTTTGATACACTTTGCCTTTTTCATTTTGTAAATTTCCTAGAAAGCCATCTTCAGTAAGTCTCCCCTCGTCTCTTTGTATGTATAGTTGATAGTCATGGAAGTGACTCATAAGGTAAGCCAGAACTTTGGTAGAAAATGTGAGACTTTTGTCATTACATAGATGTCATATTTGACAATACATGTATATTACTAATATATGAATTGATGTTAACTATATCTACCATTGGAATTCCACTTGGATAAAGTTGTTTCTTGATACCATACCATTGTGTCTTGTTTTCATTTTTATTTTTTCTCTACATATTATCAGAATAATGGAAAAGTTAGAAAAAATGAATAATAGTGTTTTAGGTGGCCTATATTACATATTTTACTGAGTTAAACAATTTGGATGATGTTATATTATGGGATTCAAGAAAAATTCAAGATACTTTTCTATGTACAGTAAAAGTTCTCAGCTTACAGCATGGATTGCCTGACCTATATGCCACTCACATTTTATTAGTCATGTTAACTACAATAGTGAAAGCACCTAACTTAAAAATTTTTTTAAGAGGCCAGCAGGTAGCATTGTGGTTAAGGGCGCTGGACTCCTACATGGTTGACCACTGTTCAATTCCCAGACCTAGTGGCTTGCTTTCTCACTTTCCTTCTTTCTCTCACTCTGTCCATCTCTGGTCAAATTAAAAATAAATAAATGAAGTTAAAATAAAATAATTCTTAAGAACAAAAAATGTCTTAATAAATCAGATTTATTAAAAAATTTTAAAATTATTTTCATTATGTTTCAATTACTGGGCAGAGCTTTGGGAATAAAGAGGTGACCAAGATAGCTCTAGCTGCTACCTTCATAGAAATGATCTAGTGTAGGGAGGGGGAGAGGGAGGGAACATTAAAAAAGAAATTATAAAGATGTGAGACCAGTGTGTGGTATAACATGTAGTTGGGAGACTTATACCCATCTAAGAGGTAAGAAGCACTTTGCTGAGGATGTGCCAGTTATAGTGAGACCTTGGATTAGGTGGTGAAGAAGCTTCGAAGCACTTATGAAGGTTTCGAGTCAACAGCAAGTATGGAGTTGGAAGTTTTAGGAATGGGAAGGAGTTTGAATTTGCTGAACTATGAAGTGTGAGGGGAAAAGTGGAAAGAAGAGGTAGAATGGTTGATGAGGTATATGCCCTGGGGTACACTCTGCAATAGGGATTCAGACTTGGGCTTAGGTAATGCTACTAAATGGATTTAGGCAAATGAATGATGTGATCATATTCCTGTTTTTGAAAAAGTGGAGGACCTTATACATGAAGGCAAGCAGATGGTCTCAGACGTCCTCGAGGTTTCTCGTGGAACTCTGTTGCTGAACTTGGGTCTGGCCGCAAAGGCTTTGCTGTGGTGAAGGCCAGATTGAGGGTGATGATCATCTTTTGATGGAGACTCAGCTGTCCAATTACATGCTTGCTAAGTATCTGATTTCAGAATTCTGTACTTATCCTGCCACAATCCTGCCTCCATGTCGGATCATTTGTTAAACTCATATCTCATTGATTCTTACTGGTTCAGAGGCTTGGGTACAACTAGTGGTATCACAGATCTCCGTTGTTAACAAACCCTTGCTTGTAGCAACACTATCACCATCATCTCTGTTTACCAACTCTTAACTACATTTGGCCAAATTCCCCAGAAAAATCATAGCAGGTCGCATCGTCCTTGGGAGAACTGCAGTTTGTCTTGGCTGTTGATCCTTCCCTCCCTCCAAAGAAATGATCAATGAGGCAATTACCATTATAAGCAGAATTTTGACTTCCTACAGCTTGGGAAAGGAGAGTTATAGCTTTGGTCTTTTCATCAATGCACTCACAAAGCACCTGGTTTTATAGCAGCATCTTGTCTTCTCAGACTGGCCTCAGAATTTCTAATTCAGAAATTGGGCAAGGAGGTAAGGGGGACCTGGTGAATTCTCAGAGAATAAGTAGAGAATAATTTATCTTTCTTCTTCCACCCCCTACATCCAGTAAGAAGCATTCACTTGTCCTTGTAACAAATATTTATTTGTTGACAAATAATAATTATATACATCTGTGGGGTACAATCTTATTTTTCAGTACAAGACTATAATGCATATCAATTAATTCAGGAAAACTAGTTTATCTAGCATCTCAGCCATGAATAAATATTTATTGAATAGCTTACTACTGGCAATCAACAGGGGAATTCACTGGGAAATGCTCATGAACTTCAAAGTTTATGATCTAATATGGAAGAGGAAAGAATATATTATGCTAAAACAAAACAGGAATGAACAAGGTGAAGGAACCCTCTGTTACTGGCGTAAGACTATCCCTTTTCGTATCTTCTGGCATCCATGAGTAAGGAGGGACCTTGGCACACTACTTCTGGACAAATGCTTTTCCCTGACTCCCATCAACATTTATTGTTCCCTACTGCTGTCTTGTGACTACCAAGATTGTTCATGCCCATCCTTACAAAAACAGATGCTTGACTTCTTCACCCTGACACTCAGAGAGCTCCCTAGGACAAGCTTTCTTCTTGATTCTACATCCTACTTCTCTCCAATGGCACTAGCCATTCCACTCTCCCCTTTGCAACTGGGTCATTCATTAGTAGAATTCCTTGAATCAGTGCTTTTTCCTGAATAATCTCTTCACCCTTTTATTGTAACTAAAATATGGCTCTTTTTTTTTTTTGAGAGGCTTTTTGCTATAGGGCGCGTGCGCTCGCCATACAGACAGAGAGAGACATAGAGACAGAAAGCGAGAAATCACCCCCCAGGGGGGATGGTCACAGTGTAATCCCTTCTCCTCCATTCTCTCGGGATCTTGGGCACGCACGCACACGTGGCCGGCATGAGTTCTAAGCCACTGGGTCCGGGACGCGAACCGTGGTCGACAACGTGGGAATCCAGCGACAGCCATTACGCTAACTGCTGGTTCCAAAATGTGACTCTTTTGAAGAACATTTCTTATTCTGCAGTCCTCACAACTAGAGGTTATTTCATGTTCCACTGGGTGCAGAGGTGGGGTGGGTGGTCTCCCTGGGCCTCCCTTTGCTTTTAGATAGATTATTCCTTTTTTTTTTTTTTTTCAGGGGTTTTTGCTTTAGAGAAATCACCCCCCAGGGGGGATGGTCACAGTGTAATCCCTTCTCCTCCATTCTCTCGGGATCTTGGGCACGCACGCACACGTGGCCGGCATGAGTTCTAAGCCACTGGGTCCGGGACGCGAACCGTGGTCGACAACGTGGGAATCCAGCGATAGCCATTACGCTAACTGCTGGTTCCAAAATGTGACTCTTTTGAAGAACATTTCTTATTCTGCAGTCCTCACAACTAGAGGTTATTTCATGTTCCACTGGGTGCAGAGGTGGGGTGGGTGGTCTCCCTGGGCCTCCCTTTGCTTTTAGATAGATTATTCCTTTTTTTTTTTTTTTTCAGGGGTTTTTGCTTTAGAGCATGTGTGCTTGCCAAAGAGAGACAGAGACAGTGAGAGGGAAAGTGAGAGATCGCCCCCTCCCTCCACCAGGGGAGATGGCCATGCTACAATCCCTTCTCCGTTTTCCTCCCAGGATCTTGAGCATGCACGCACAAGCACCTGGCATGATTTTCAAGCCATTGGGTCCAGGACTCAAACTGCAGTTGGCCAGTGGGAAATATATATACACACATACATATACACACATATGTACATATATGTACATATATACACACATATGTGTGTATGTATATTTATATATGTATACACACACACAAATATTCAGATTTTGCCATAGGGCACTTGCTCTCACTGGAGGTATTCAAATTTTGCCATAGGGCACTTGCTCTCACTGGAGAAAGGAAAAGTGAGAAAGCAATCCACCATGTCTGGGATTTGAATTGCTGTCAGTCATGTGGAAGTCCAATGCTTAACCACCATGTCACCTACCACCATTCCATCCTCTTTAAAATCTCCAGCTTTGGGCCAGCAGGTGGCATGGAGGTGAAGGTGCTGGATCCCACATGACCAACTGTGTTCAAATCTTGGACCTGGTGGCTTCGGGATCACACTGGACACATATGAGTGCAGGCCCCAAATCCAGGGAAGATTTTGAAAGAAGGGATTATAGCGTGGTCATCCTCCTTGTGGGGTGATTTCTCACTTTCTCCCTCAGGCAAGGGCAAATGCCTTATAGCAAAAAAACAAAACTAAAACCTCCAGCTTTGAATGCTATATCATTGGATTAGACCCTTCTCTATCCTTAGAATAATCTTGATCTGTAACTCAGGCCACACTCTCAATGTCATACCCTAGCCTTAATATTAAGATTAACTTCTCTAACCTTATATTCAAATATTCTATTTTCCCCATACCAGCCCGCTTTCCAATGTTTTTCCCTCAAATACCACAACTCTGACAGGTCCTCAGGGTACCTTCCATCCACTCACCCTCGCAGCTTGCCAATACCTCTCATGGAAATGGTCCCTCCTGCCCCTTACTCTGGTAAATGTGTTTCTGCCCATCTCTGCCTTGGCCATTCCACTCCAACACCAGGGCTTTCTTGCTCTTACTCGACCATGCCGAGTGTGATCTTTTTTTTTTTTTTTTGGAGAGGTTTTCGCTATAGGCCGTGTGCGCTCGCCAGACAGACAGAGAGAGACATAAAGACAGAAAGTGAGAAATCACCCCCCGGGGGGATGGTCACGCTGCAATACCTTCTCCTCCATTCTCCTCCCAGGATCTTGGGCACGGATGCACACGTGCCCGGCGTGAGTTTTAAGCCACCGGGTCCGGGACACGAACTGCGGTCGACTACGTGGGAGTCCAGCGACATAGCCATTACGCTAACTGCTGGTTCCCACCAGGTGTGATCTTGACTCAGGACTTCAGCACCTGCTGTGGCCCTCCCTAAATACCTTGCCTAATTACTTGGACACCTTGCTCCCTCACCTTCAGATCTTTATTTAAGCATCACCCAGAGAGACCTTTGCTGGTCACCTTATTTAAAATAGTATCTCTTTCTTCAACATATTGTATCCTGCTTCTCTGTTTAAATTTTTATTTTCTTTCTTGTCCTTCATGCACTACAATGTAAGTTCCAAGAAATTGTAAATTTTTATCTGTTCCCTGCTGTATCCCCAGAGCCTAGAGAGATCTTGGCATTTACCAAACACTCCCTAAATATAGGTTCTGAAAGAATGAGTGAATGAGGTATGCGCTACAGCATAAAGACAGTAGTTTATGTGAGAAAATGTGGGCACTAAGAGTGGGGAGGT